CCACTCTTAAAAAAGAGCAATCTAGACAGTTCACTAATGAGCAATTATAGGCCCATATCAAATCTCCCATTTTTAAGTAAAATCATTGAAAAGGCTGTTCAAGGCTTTCTTGACACTAAATAACTGTTTTGATGTCTTCCAGTCAGGTTTTCGACCACACCACAGCACTGAGACGGCTCTTGTTAAGGTCTTCAATGACATCCATTTAAACACTGACAGTGGTAGAATTTCAGTCTTAGTATTATTGGATCTCAGTGCTGCATTCGACACGGTCGACCACAACATATTACTAGACAGACTTGAAAACTGGGTTGGACTTTCTGGCACAGTACTAAAATGGTTTGAATCCTACTTAAAGGACAGGGGCTACTTTGTGTCTATAGGTAATCACACATCTGAGCTGACAGAAATGACGTGGAGTTCCCCAAGGCTCCATTCTGGGGCCTCTTTTGTTTAACATTTACATGCTTCCACTGGCTCAGATTCTGAAAAACATCAAATATGCTACCATAATTATGCAGATGACACACAGATATACATAACCATTTCACCAGGGGACTATGATCCCATACGGGTGCTGAGTAACTGTAGCAGGTCGACGGCTGGATGTGCCGGAATTTTCTTCAATTGAACAAGGATAAAACTGAAGTTATTGTTTTTGGAGCCAGGGAGGAACGATTGAAAGTCAGAGCTCGACTTCAATCTGTAATGTTAAGAACCACAAATCAAGCCAGAAATCTTGGTGTAGTCATGGACTCAGACCTGAATTTGAGCCACATTAAGACAATTACAAAGTCAGCCTATTATCACCTGAAGAATATACCACGGATTAAAGGACTTATGTCTCAGCAAGACCAGGAAAAACTTATCCATGCATTTATCTTCAGTCGACTCGACTACTGTAACAATGTCCTTACAGGGCTCCCTAAGAAATCCATCAGACAGCAGCAGCTGATTCAGAACGCTGCTGCCAAAAAATTGGATCTCATCACTTCAATTCTGAGGTCTTTACATTGGCTTCCTGTATGTCAAAGGATTGATTTCAAAATCCGGCTGTTAGTTTATAAAGCACTAAATGGTTTAGGGCCAAATTACATTTCTGATCTTCTGCTTTGTTACGAACCATCCAGACCTCTCAGGTCGTCTGGGGCAGGTGTATTTTTTCAATTTCCCTATGTTGCTTTTAAACTTTTTTTTATATTTCCCTGTTGCTTTTATGTTTTGTGTAAAGCACTTTGAATTACCTTGTTGTTGAAATGTGCTATACAAATAAACTTGCCTTGCCTTACAAAAAATACAGTTTTTCATGCAAAAGCTCAATGGCAAATGGATATTGACTGTATTTTTGAGGACCGTAACCTTATAAATAGGATTTACAATAGCTCCTACAAACAGTAGGTACAACAGTACTTTCAAATGTAGTCTATTTATGTAAATATAAATGTAAAACAAATGCAGTGATAATATTCAATAGTAAACTACATACACTTGTACAGAAAAATTTAGACTGCAGACTAGAGTCCAGTGGTCCAGCAGAAGCAGAAGTGATTGTCTCCTACAGATGATCCTGGGTACTGCAGTGTATATTCTTACAACTCATGAGAAGCAGTGTCGCTACCGCCACCTGCTGGTGTAGCTAATAAACTGCTCTCACATTTACAGATCTCTGTTTATGTTACATGTATAAGAATGATTCGATGCTCACTCTGGTGCAACACGTTTAATTTCTGTTTGAAATATGAAAATACAGTTTTATTCAGGAGCGCTCTCTGTTACGTGCATTCTTGCACTTACTCATCATGTACTGACATCTCATTCTACTTTACTGGCATTAGCTATTGATGCCTTAGTATAATGCATAGAGCACTCTCTGCTGACCATACTGTGCAAGCATGGAATTATCACATCTCAGGAACAGAACAGCATAATTAATGTAAGTGACAAAATAGTTACATTATGTTTTGAGACCTTAAGCTTTCACTGAATTAAAAAATTGGGGGGGGGGTCAAATGACCTGCAAATTGACAGGAAATGATCCGAAAATGTGCAAAAACTGTTTTGTGCATAAAAAATTGATTCACAAATTAAAATATGTGTGTACAGAGTAAATTGTACCTATTTACAAATTGCACTGTATTTTTGTGGATATGATTTTACATAACACAAATATAAAAAAACGTTTTGGGTACAGATCTCCGCAGTACACATTACACAAAATTCAACACATGCGTAAAAAGGAAGTTACAAATGTGCAAAAACTGTTTTGTGTGTAGTCATATGATTTTACACATCACAAATGTAAAAATACAAATTTGTAGATAGTGAAATATTTGTGCATCATAGTACACATTTGTTGATTGTTTTCTGTGGGTTATAAATATTAAAGTCTAATAAAATCTTTCATAAGAGATCAGATTTCGCAACTGCTAATCAGTCTGCAATGTGTTCCAGGTGGATGGCTTCTTACCAAGATGTGTACGTATGTGTAGGTACAGATAACAAATACAAGTTACCGGAGCACAAATTATAGGACCTGATGTTGCGTGACATATAAGTGCAAAGATTAGAGGGGAGCATATCCAGCATAGACTTATAAATAAGTCAGCCAGTGTATGTGCCTCCTCACTGATAATGAGTTTGTCATTTTGTGGTGCAATGGTGTGTTGATGCTTTACATCCAGTAAAAAATCTCAGTGCACTATGGTAGACAGTATCCAACAAAGATAAACATCGGTCAGGCACGTTTCTATAGAGCAAGTCATCGTAATCGAGTGCAGTGAATAAGGTTGCAGCAACCAATCTCCTCCTGGTTTTCCAAGAAAAACAGGCTTTGTTTCTAAAATAAAATCCTATTTTTAGTTTGAGCTTTTTTACCAGTTTATCAATGTGCAATTTAAAAGAGAGCTGATCGTCAATTAATATACCCAAATATTTGTACAATTGGACTTGTTCGATCTGCTCACCATGTATAGTAAAAATACTTGGAAGAATGTCCAGAAACTTCTTAGATTTCGAAGAAAGCATAATCTTCGTTTTCTCAACATTCAAAATTAGCTTAAGCTGATACAGTTGTACATGAACAATGTTAAAAGCAGATTGTAAGTAAGAAAAAGTAAAGTAGCAGCCTTACAATAAATAATCATCAGCATAAAAATGGAAATGAGCCCGAGGGATGTCTTGACCCAAGTTATTAATATAAATAGTAAATAAAATTGGACCCAAGGCTGATCCTTGTGATACACCACTAGATACATTCAGTGTTGCTGATTTGAGATTGTCAAAATAAACACACTGAGTTGCTTCAATAATGTCATTAATGACCTTCATTATAGCAGTTGTAGTACTGTGCTGCCTTCAAAACCCATACTGTAATTCAGACAAAATATGGTTGGAAACCAAAAATTCCTTTAACTGATCAGCTACCAGTGTTTCTAAAACTTTAGTAAAAACTGGTAACTTAGAAATTGGTCTATAATTATCAAAGCGAGGAATTACCTCCCTTTAAAAGAGGGTTTATATAGGCCGAATTATTGGAATCTCATTGTTGACCAGGGTGAGGTTAAAAATTATAAAAATGAAATTGGTTTAGCTCAAACAAGGAACCAGTTTCCACCAAGTGCTTATTAAAACATACATCAAGGTAATTCATTATGAGAATTTAAAGTGCCAACCGATTTCAGTGCTTTCCAGAATTTCCAGGGATTGTTTAAGTTTTCTGTGGTAGCTGCTAGATAAATATCTGATTTAGCGTTTTTAATAAATAAGGTGCAGATTGCGCAGCTGTCTAAAAATGAGCTGAATCTGTCCCAGAGTGCCTGGCTTTAGCCCAGTCTTGTTTTCTTTGCCGAAGATGATTAGCCAGCTCCGGGGTAAACCATGCGTTATCGCGTCCCTTCACTCTTACCTCTCACACCTCTGGAAGGGAGCATGTCAACAATTCTAATAAAACCATCATAAAAAATTTCCAAGCTAGCGCCACATTGTCAATAAGTGCAATTCTGGCTCAGTCAAATTAAGACAACTCATACAAAAACGCTTGCTCACAGAAATGCTTCAAATTTTGTTTAAAGATTATTCTAGGTTTAGTCTTTTTTTAGTATTGTTGTGTAGTGTTTTAGTATTTTTTACTGCTGCAATAACACAGTGATCACTTAAATCGTTAGCAAACACACCTACATCTGAATATTTATGAGGTGTGTTCGTTAAAAACAGGTCAATAAGAGTAGATTTGTTAGGATTTTTGGTATTCGGTTACAAGTTCACTTAAAAATTCCATCATATTTGGTAAGGCATCAGCAACAGCAGAAGGGGGTCCAACAGTAATAAGCTGACCTAAAATAAGAACAAGGTACTGCCTTTTAAAAGGTGCACATTGAGAGTTATTATAGGCATTAGTAATTAAAATGTGATTTAGGACAGCAGTCTTTATAATCCGATAGAACAGAGTGAGAAGTCACTAGGGATAAGTAGTACAGTTTCACAGTAAGACCAATGTCCGAGGAGGTTCCTTCAGATGAGATGTAGAAGTATGTCCATACAGTTTGAAAGTGAACCACCGTTTTTTTCATTCCCTGTGTAATCCACTGCGATCAGCAGGAGAAAGGCTGCTGTTAAAAACGCCCTTCTGGAATGATGCGCTACTTTGCGTCCCCTGAAGTAGCCAGTGATGTTACAATAAACTTCACGAAGGAGGAAAAATTCACAAGAAGCAATGCTTCTGCTTGAAGAAATTTTTACCAAAATACTTGCATACTTTTACGTTACTATGGTACAGAATCCAGAACTTTTACTTTCACTTGAGTCTTTTCAAAGTCAGGTTGGTAGTAGTACTTATTTGTAATGGGCCTGAACACTTCCACCTGTGTTTAGAATTCCACAGCCTAACTGCACCTGTATGTTAGTGGCTGAGACTTCCCCTTTAAGGAAGGTGTTTTCTGGATAACCTTTGTGAGTGACATAGTGAGTCATAGACTGTCTAAAAGAAGTGCATATGTGGAACACACTGTGTTGCAAGATGGCGCCGCTCAAGGCAGCCGTGCTATTTTGGTGCGCTCTGTTTGTTTTGTTCATGTTTGTTTATACCAAAGAAGAGCTCATAAACATCAGGGGAAAAACACCAGCGGATTTAATTCCTACTTTTCTCGTGTCATCAGTGAAATTATTAGACATTTTGGTCAAGGCTTCACTCTCCGTTGTTCATGTGGTGAAGTGCTGGAGGAGGGGGAGGAGGTCCGATACACTGGTGTGACTACGCCCAAGAGGACACCGCACGCCGCTACCGGGTATATTTCTCAACAACGTGTGCTCACTGTGCAATAAACTGAAAGAACTTCAGCTACTGGTAGGGAAAAACAGAGACTTTTATTCATCTTCTGTTCTGTGCTTCACGGAGACGTGGCTGTGTGGATCAATACTGGACTCCGCGCTGCAGCTGGCTGATTTCTACAGAGCAGACCGTAACAGAACTCTCTGGCAAAACAAAAGGTGGTGGTGTCTGTTTTTACATTAACAATGGCTGGTGTAATGATGTGACAGTGATTCAGCAGTGCTGTTCTCATGACCTGGAGTATTTACTGATATACTGTAAACCATTTTACTCTCCCCGCTAGTTTGCTTCCTCTGTGTATACATTCCACTGCAGGCCAACGTGCTCGACACACAACGCACAACCAGATAGTGTGGGTCAAAGCAGTGACCCTGACATCTGTGGTTATGAAGTCCTTTGAGTGCCTTTTGTTGTCCCACCTTAAATCCATCACAGACCCACTCCTGGACCCCTTGCAGTTTGCCTACAGAGCCAACAGGTCTGTAGACGACGTAGTTAACATGGCCCTTCACGTCATCCTCCAGCACCTGGACTCCCCACAAACCTATGCCAGGATCTTGTTTGTGGATTTCAGCTCTGGAAGCAGCATGTTAAACTGGGAAAACATGTTTCTGACTCCAGGACCATCAGCACCGGATCCCCTCTCCCTGTACAGCTGCACCTCCTTTCACCAGACCGTCAAGCTCCTGAAGTTTGCGGCTGACCTCTCCCACCCTGGACACAAACTGTTTTAGACACTCACCTCTGGCAGGAGGCTGCGGTCCATCAGGACCAAAACCTCTCGCCACAGGCACGCACACACACACACACACACACACACACACACACACACAATTTTAATTTTAGCAGCTATAAGTCAGGCTAAAGTCCATCAAAATATCCTAAAACCAGAGGAATCCCAAATATGTTTTGGAGCTGGAAGCTGCAGTAGAGTAATTAGAGTGATCAGATGATTGATGGTGTTTTCAGAATCAGAATCAGAATCAGCTTTATTTGCTAGGTATGTGTACACATATGAGGAATCTGACTCTGGATTGTACATTGTTCACGATATGCTAACTTACAATACAATAATAAAATCACACTCATGTACACAGTGTGATGGAGCATAGTGCAAAGGTTGCTGGAATAAATAAGTATGTGTTGTAGTAGGTGTTATGTACATGCGGTAGGTGGATTTGGTATACAGTATATACAATATAAAAAATGACAATATGAACAGTATGAACAGCTCTGAAATAGAAAATGATGAGTAAATAATAAGTGGTAGCCAGTAAACAGGTGGCTGATTAGAGACAGAGTTACTGGGTTATTGCACAGGTATTGTTCGCAACACTGTAAGGCAGAAATCAGCTATTCATCAGATTGATGGCTTGTGGGAAGAAACTGTTCCTGAGTCTGTTGGTTCACCGTTTGCACAAACTCTGCTGTGAAGAGTATAACATGCTGTAATAAAGTTATATAAACAAGGACTTTTTATTTATTTTCTGTGGCAGCATACACAATACAGCTTTCACTATTACCAGTATACTGCAACCTGAGCTTATGTACACACTTTATAGCAGACTAATATAATTAAACTACTCCTCAGCAGCAACCAGCAGAAACACTGAAAACCCAATTTAATATTAGAATATATTTTTTTATATCCCCCAGCCTTAGAGGAAGAGTTAGGATTTGAAATAACCGTGAATATCTTTTATTTTTACAAAAAGACTCCTGGAGTGGCTAGTAGTGAGTGTGACATGACTTGTACTTGACAAGGATAGATGTTACTAAAATATAATCATATTGGGCAAAATAAGAAATAAAGGCCTGGTTCTTGCTACAGTTGAGTTGAGCATTCTCCATAACTCATGTTAACATGAAACAATTTAGTAAGTGTAGAACGGGACTTTTCTAATGGGATGGTGGAACACATAATGTACATCTGCACAAGGAAAATGCAGCATTCGTCCAGAAACCACTGCCCGCTAACACACTTATTAACCATCAAAGTCCATTCTCTACATGTGCAAAAAATATATCCCAATCTATGTTGCGGAATATTTCTACTAGTTTACTGATTCTGATTTTTTGTGCGTGTGTACATGTAGATTCGCAGTGTGCAGGTTCTCCCAGTAGACTATGAGATAGAGTACATCTGCAGGGGCAACAGGATGATTGTGGGACCCAAGGTCAGGAAGTGTTTGCCCAACGGCACTTGGACCGATCTGAGCCAGAGCAGCAGATGCTGTGAGTTTAACTTCAACTGACTCTCCACTCATTTATCCATCACAATCTCCATCATCATATTCATTCATCTCCCACCTGAAACACTGTTCCAGACATACGTACTCCATCCAACTTGATCAAAGGCAGATATATCCTCAATTTATGTTGAGTAGAGATCATCTGAACGCATTCTGTCCCCATAGGCCAACTCTGTGTGCATGAAGTTCAAGCCTTTCAGTAAAAAACAACAACAAAAAAACCCTCAAAACAGTAACATTAATCAGTAACCTAGAAACCTGTGTTGACTATTTCACATTAAAGGTGCAGGGACCTCAAAATAGTTTTAATTACATATGTGTTAACTGTGTTTCAACATTAACAAATGTTATCAATTGTTAACTGGTCCTATATGTTGTTGTTGTTTTTTTACTTAAAACTGAGTGTGGGACTTTTACATTTAAATGAATGTCCGTTACATTTAAGCCCTCGCCAAAGGAGTTCACACAGTGCTGATTAAGCCTTTCGCCAGGTAAATCTCTCTCGGTGCTCTATGTATACTCACAGGTTTTAAATCTGGTGTCTGTGGCACGCTCCTGCAATGTTGAACCAGTAGTGATGTGTTTAATGCCAATCAGCAATGATTGGTTGGGAGGGGGAGTGACCGTAGTGACAATAGCAGCCCAACGTGGCAGAGCCTATTTGTCATAATCAGTGTAATAACTCTCACTGTCAGAAGGGGGAGACAGAAGTTCCACACTGCAGGTTTAAATTGTATAATCTTTATTTCCTGGTGAAGTAAAATACAGAGGTTCTTTTGTCATTGGGGTGGTAGAAGTCTTTTGGTGTATACTGTATGATGCATTGGGTTAAACTTACTCTGTTGTGTTATAAGGAGGTGGTCTATGAATGCAATATTTACACATACACACCTTTATCCTGTGACAGGGAGAAATAAATTAGGTCTACACTACCTTTATTAAGCAGATAAGATGTTTGTTCAGTTGAGCAACCTGTGGATATCCAGCCTGGACACAACACAGAAATCTAAAAACATATTCTGTAAAACACCATTCTCCCAGGCTACTCTGAATGGCCTCAAGATATCACTGTGATTCTTTTAAATGAACTTGATGCTTCTCCCTGTTCAAGCTAGAAGAAGAGTGTGTAGTGAGTTGGACTGGACTTGGGGCACTAAATAGGTTACCAACTCACAGAACTGAATCCCAATGATAATAATACACTGATGAATCACTGGTGTACAACATGAATCTATAACAGTTAATTAGAAAATCAGTCTAATGTCTATGTGTTAAGAGCAGAACCAGGGTCAAGACATAGTTAGCCTAGCTTAGCATAAAGTATGGAAGCAGAGGGAAACAGCTTTCCTGGCTCTGTCCAAAGTTAAATGACAATTTGACGTTTAAGGGGAATTTACAAGCAGGAATATTTCTTGACAAACAATAGTATAGCATCCACCCAGCAGTTCTGTCCATATATATATACATATACATATATATATATATATGTACACGCAGTTTTTATTATTATTATTTTGAAAGTCCGTTGCTCACTGGCTCTGAGTACACATACAGACTACGCTGGATGCAGCGTGTCAGAGAAGTAGATAAACAAAAGCAAGACAAGTGATCAAATGCCATAGCAAAGTGGATAGCTACACACTGCATGCTGATTAGTACTGGGGAAGATGTCAGTCTGATCACATCTTTGCTCAGGTGATCAGAACAGGCAGGGAGACAAGCGCTTTGCGAGTAAACGGCAGGCGCTCTATGGATAGTGACAACGGCTTCTGTGCGCTTCACAGCTGTAGCCTATTTAACTTAAGTTAAAATTATAGGCTAACGTTACATAACTTTACCTGATAGGCCTTCATCTATTAGGGATGCTCTGCCATGCGAATTCCCTCCTGTTGATGTCCTATTTAGTAAACAGTAATAGATTCTGGAAACTCACAAACAGCAAGGATCAGTCTCTCTTCCAATGATTTGTGCTGCGCGTCGTGTAGCAAAAGGTTCAAGCGTGTGTGTGAGGCGAGCACTTCACCTCACTCTAACAGGGACACTACTGAACATAGACTGTTTATGCTGCTCCCTGATAAAGGAAAAATGTTTCTGCTGATACCTGTTCAGAAAAAAACAACAAGAAAACAGATTTATATGTGTTAGCCTGTTGCTCAGAAGGCACCTGTTATGATGTTATGATTGGCCCTGGACTCTAACTTGTTTTAACAAGCTATAAAAGGTAATGTCTTGGCAGTGGCAAATAGCTTTGGTTTTATATTTGATTTGATTTACAAGAAACAAAGAACACTGCTGGTAAAAGAAAACTCATTTGTTTAAGGTGTTTGCAAACCACATTATTGCACTTGTATGGAGTAGTAGCATACATTTAAATTAAAAGTGCGCAATACTGCTTTAGAATTCAATTTTTATTACATTTTGCGCATAAATATGTCATTAATCAAGATTACAATTTTAAATGTTGCCCAGCACTATCTATATACGTTGGACCAATGTATATATATATATATACGTTGCCATCACTATCACAAAGTATGATATATCCCTCTTAAACATGCATAAAAGTAAAATAAAGCCTCTTCTGTCTTTCTGTTCCAGTGTTGTTGTGTCCTCGTGTGTGGACATCATTGGAAAATGGCCGAGTGTCTTCTTGGCCCCTGGGGCCTGCGGTGGAGGGGACAGTGCTACATTACAGCTGTCTGCCTGGTTTCATCCTGATGGGCCACAACGCAACACAGTGCAATAAGATGGGGAAGTGGGACATGCCCAAACCTGTGTGTCATTGTGAGTCACTCTCAAAACAAATGTGCCATGCAAGACAAATGTACATATTTTGTGTCCTTGAGGCCTAAAAAGGCTGAATGCCTTTCTTTCCTCATAAAACATCTAGAGTCCATTTTTACAATATTTTGAACATCATTGTTTACGTGTTTGTTAGCTAGCAGTCTTCCTCCTGCCTTTGCTGATACCTCACTATATTAACACCAGCTGTCAAGCAGTGCTTGATGTGGGGAAAAAAATAGGTGCCAGTACTCTCCATTCACATGTTACCCCCCCAGTATAAATTAACTACTAAATTAATACTAGCAAATTGATATAACATTAATTACAATATAATATAATGTTAGTATAATATTAATATTTTTAAGGACACACAAAACAGTTTATTAGTTTAGATTTAACAATTCAACTGTTTCACCGATAAAACCATTTTCTAATATTGCATCCCTGAGGTTAAGGTTTGATTAGGGCTAATGTTAGAATTCATTATAACTTCAGAAAACAGTATTACTAGTAGGCTACAATATTACTTCCAGTTTTAAAAAACAGCCATTTAATTTTGCTTTTATTTTATTAATTGATTAATTAATTATTTTATTCATTAAATGATTGTGCAAGAAAAATGGTCTATATGGTGGTTAGATGATTTGTTAATGCTAAACTTGTCATAATCAAACCATTAATGCAGAACAACCAGTCCAACATTTCAAAAGTTTGCCGATTGAAGTCAAGGGCCTCCCTTTGTGTTGAGAAGTGGTGGGGACATAAGGGCTGAGATTAGGGGTGTGACGACACATTTGGGTCAGGAGAACAAGACGAGATGATATTTTAATATTATTGTGAAGAAATAGTTGATGGAGAGATGTATGAGTGGGGGTTGAGCATTAAACTCATAAATTACTGCATTCTGGAGACATTTTATGGTAGAAGGTTAACAAAATTCAGGTGGCAGGTGACAATACAAAATATAAAAATATAATGGAATATAATGCAGTAATAAGAAGCTTGTTTTTATAAGCTATAGTTATTGTTTTAGGATAATGCATAATTTTTCTTCTATATTTAAATTGCATTGCATGTTTTCTTATTGTGCAAATAAACCCTTCTCAAAGCATTTTCATTTGTTATTTAACATTTCTCATTGCAAGATGTTTTTCAGAACAGTTTTAACAAATGCTTTGAAAAAATCAGCTATTCTGATTCTACCATGTCCCCAACGTCCCCAACGTCCCCAGTGTAAATGACATCTATGGCCTTTTTTTAATGTCCCGCCACATGCAGGCTTTGATTAGTCGGTTCACAAAAAGTGACACTGACGAGCTACTTTCTGCACAGGAATATGCATGAAAGGCACCCGTGCTTCTCCCTTGTCTGTCTGACACTGAGTCGCGCCAGCCTATCAGTGTTGAGATTGTCCGGACGTCACCTTCAGAGTGTTGTTGAGTACCAGGCAGAGCGGGGGAGTTAAATGCCGGTGGCCAACAGAGAGAGCTGCTGAGCTACCCGGAGCTGTCGAGGATAGAGCTGGGAGCTTTAGGACAAAAAACACCCGAAGTAGTTCTGGATTATGCTCTGACAACTATGCCGCTTACCTTACTTTTTTACTTAGTTTTGGGGATTACAACGTTGATTTATCTTCACTCGTATTTCTCTGCAGCGAGCTTCCATGCATTTCTGTTTCCACTGTTGTTGTTAGCTTCATTGTTCACCCAGAGGTCTGTGATACTACTTCTTCATATCTATATAAAAACTGGACATTGCTTGGAGAACAGTAAGCGAGAAAGTTCAACTACCTGGTGAGTTCAGAAAATATGTGTCTGTTAGTTTTTGTAGTACTTTACTGTGAACAACTTAGCATAGCATAGCCCCGATCAATCCAAACTCCATTCAGAAAGAAAAACATTTTAAAAGTTGTTGTCCTGCTGAGACCTGACAAAGCATGAATTCATATGTTTATCAAATCTGCATCATGTAGTTTTTTTTTTCGGCATCAGTTCGGCTTCGGCAAGTATTTTTGCACTGTACAAATCTTGGCACAAATTCAGCTGGCCCACCCTGAGCTATGCTCGAGATTTTTGCCTTTTAAAAGTGCTTGCTCATGGTGGGAATTGTTGGGCCTCTGTAAATAATATCATGTAAGAGTACTGTCTAGAACTGTTCTATATGAAAAAGTGCAATGAGATAATTTTTGTTGTAGTTAGTGCTATATAAATAAAATTGAATTGAATTTGTATTCTCACACATCAATGTAAAATCTAACTCTGTTTTGTCTCCCCTTTTCTGTTCCCAAAGATGATCGGCACTACAAAGGTAAGAACATGTTCATTCTTAACTAATGATTTGGGAAAAATCAAGCAGTAAACTTAAAGTGATGAAATCATATATTTTAATTTTACAGCTAATAGTTGCTGTTCTCAAAAATGAGTTGCCAACATGACTTAAGAGTCAGTAGTTGTGGTTTTCACTTTCAGACTGTTCTCACGTCAGATCAGTCTATAACAGTGTTTTCCCCCCTTGCATTGCGACTGGAGGCGAGTTATTATATTATCATCAAACCAGCAGTCTAACTTTCATTTGTGGCAACTGCAAAGACGAAATTATGAATATCCAGCCAAATTTCTCAGGAATTATTATGAACATCCCTCACAGTCACAATGGTCACTAATGGTCACGGCGCAGTGGTGCATTGGTTAGCACTGTCGCCTCACAGCGAGAAGGTTGTGGGTTCAAACTCTGGTTGGTCTGTGTGGAGTTTGCATGTTCTCCCCGTGTCCGCCTGTGTCTTCCTCCCACCGACCAAATACATGCAGACTAAGTGAATTGGTGTCTCCAAAATTGTCCTTAGGTGTACCCCGCCTTTTGCCCGATGTAAGCTGGGATTGGCTCCAGTCCCCTGCGACCCTGTATACAGGATGGATGGAAGATTTTGAGCATTAAACACTTAATTTCCTGTATTCTGGAGACATTTTCTGCTCCAATTCATTGTGGAAATGTCTTCATTTATATGAAGAGAAATTCAGCTGGTAGGTGACAATTCATAAATATAAAAATATTACAGAATATAATGCAGTAATCAGCTGCTTGGTTGTTTTAGCTTAGCTTTAGCTTTGTTTTGGACATTTCACATTTGTTTCTTCTATATTTAAATTGCATTACATGTTTTCTTATTGTGCAAATAAACCTCACAACATTTTCATTTGTTAGTTAACATTTTTAACAAATGCTTTCAAAAAGTGATGGGGACAAAACCAGCCATTTCAAAATGACACCTATTACAGGAGATACAATTAAGGGAACGTGATATTAAGGAAATGTGGTTTGTATGTATATTGACAAAATGTATAATAAAAAGATTGCTAAAATAAAACTTGCCTCAACACTGCCAGTAGGCCAGGTGAGCCATCCTCCAGTGACAGTACTCCCATCTTATCTCATGGTGGTGATATTGTGCTGCCCATAACATGGCAGAGCTGTTTCCATCCCAGATAAAGAATAGGTGGTTCTTTATAAGCCTGTGAACCTCACAGGTCTTTGTTCAGAAAGCGATCATTACGAAGCCACTCTGGCTCTGTGCTGTTGGTAATATCCTGTGAATAGCCTAGCACTAAACAGCTGCTGTGGTTAATCTGTTTTTTGGTATGCAGGTTCTAAAATTAGAACTTCCTCTTTCTCACTAGCAGTGAAGATGTGAAAACACAGATAGGATTTTATAGCCAGGCTGAACATTACTGTGGATCATTATCCAACTGTACTTTTTAGTTTTCATATCTGTTCTGGTTCAAAATAAGTATAATGACCTTCAGGATTCAATCTGTGTAAAACATCAGGTCAGTTAAAAAATTACCATAATGTAATAATTTAAGTTGTTTCCAGGCAGAACAATGACAGTACTAACAATATCATCTACAGCAGGGGTCAGCGACCTTTTTTATATGAAAGATTTTCTTATTAATCATTGTACCATGTCAACATTAAGTTTAATTATGACATCACATCAAAATTGTATATCCAAGAGATCTGTAATTTTATTCTATCCATAGATAACATGCATAGCAGCATTTTAAAAAAGATTTTTTTCCATATTCAGGACATTGTAATTATATATATAAGAGTATGATAGAAGGCTGCCATCCACATCTGAGTTGAATCATTAACCGTACCAACATTACACCAATCTTGTTTATCAGCTATAAACTTCATTTAGTTATAATGGCATTAAATGTCAAAACAGGAGAAGTAAGTCTAACAAACAGAAATATGAGCAGTGGTGTAATCTAGTTTTTTATAGTGAGTATACTGTGATTTTTCCATCCCAGCCTCATACTCACCCGTCCCCAAGTGATGTGTCCCAGAGCGACGCGTCCCAGAGCAACGTCCCATAAGCACCCGAACCCTCACTAATACATACAGATACAGATCTGTCACCAAAACTCATTCATTACAGAATATTATTACAGTGGAGACACAAAAAGTGGTCCACATATTCTCTAGCACATTTATCTTCCAAAAACTTAGGTTATACGTTTCTGTATCAGCTGAAATGCATGAGCAAGCATCCAGGAACTGCTACTGTGCAGACACAGACACAGTATCCAGCATTCATTGATCCACCACACTAATGTTAGTTATGTTAACTAGTTCTAGATGCAATTTATTATACCAGCAATCCCCTGCTGCTAATTTCAAACTTGCGCCAAGTGACCGCCAGGCAGCTGTGTTGTTGTTTGGTAGGTGAAGTCAGATTCTACTCACAGGCCATGGAAGCGTCGTAACACAGATGGGGTGAATTTATGAATGAAAGTGTGAAAGGTCTGTCACAAAACCTTACTGATATGTATCAACTCGTTATTATAAGTGGGTATACGGCGTATACCTGCGTATCACATAGACTGAATATGAGAGCTATGCCATGCTTATGAAACATCCACATCTTAGTTGAAATCATTAATCTTGTTCCTCAGCAATAAATACTTGTATTTCTTTAGTACTTTTATCCCCCATGGTTACAGATTTAAAAGCACAGTTCCCATTTCAGCATCTGCTTGCAATGACATTTCCTTACTTAAAAAATGTTGCAATGGCAGCAAATGTCAAAAAGGGAGAATTGAGAGTAACAAACAAAATGTGAGCACTATAAAAGAATATTGCATTGCTAAAAAACATCGACATCGGAGATGAAAAAAGACCAGGACAAAGTTAATGGATGCCTACCACTCAATGTAATCCATGGCCCTGCTTTCCTTTGCTGAGCTCCATTATCTGGGGATCATACTTAGTCACTTTAAGTTGCATGCAAGCTTCGGAGCGGTCAGTTGTCATACTACTACGGGAGGAGATGAGCACGCTCTTCATGTGCGAGAATATCTGCTCACAGAGATATGTTGATCCAAAGACTGTCAGCAAAGCCAATGCAATGTTCCTGAAACAGCTAAACCTCTCTGGTACAGATATCCAGCAGGTGAAGATGCAAGTTCTATGATCATGCCCTGCTGTGGTTTCCAGCTGTTTTCCGTAGCTCCACTGATGTATTTGTATATTTCAGTGGTGCTCATGCTGTGCTGTGTGGAAAGTGTCTAAGTAGCAGAAAGTGGAGTTGGTAATGTCACTCCAAAAAATTACCAGCTTTCCAACAAAGCAGCCCATGTGTTGTACATGTCAAAACAGTTTTCCAGCAGGGACTGGAACTGTCAGTGTGTTAAGGCAAATCCCTTAACAATGAAGTTAACAATGTTTACCACTGAAGCATCAGTTAACAATGTTTACCACTGAAGCATCAGTTAACAATGTTTACCACTGAAGCCTCATTAAGATATGAATTTGACGTTTTTGCAGATTTGAAATTTTCTTGGTGTATTATGCAGTGAAGTGACTGACTTGTTCCTCAATTAATGTGACTGCACCTCGCTGTATACCAGCCATGGCGGGGCGACATCTGTTGTCACTGCAAAAATCTTGCTAATGTCAATCCCTCACTCCTCAAAATGCTCCAAAAAAACTCTGGTTCTGTTCTCACCTTTGGTTGTTTCAAGCAGGGATGGAAATTAACACCCGCGCTGCACCAAATGTGGGTAGATTTTCCGTTTGGCGGCTAAATGTTGGAAGGCTACCCGCCACATTGGTGGGTAGCCTATTGGGTACGATATCGCCATGTAATAGCTTTTTGACGTTAACTAACAGCAGATCAGCGTAGTTGTTTGTTGTGTGTCTCACTTAACACTAGAACGGCCGTAACAGGTAAAATTTACCCGCTATAAAAATGCATTTATTTTGTGATTATTTCTGCTACATGTTGCTCCAACACACTTTGGGAAACATTTAGCACATGTGGCTTTCCTATAAACACCATCCCCATATTTCAGGCAATATAATACAGAAAGTTTATTCTATTGCATTCATTGTCTTCACCGTGCAGGTCGATCGCTTGCGCTGCGCATCTGTGAAGGGCACGTTCACACGCGGCGGCTCTTTTGATGTCATCCACTTGCTGCTGTTATAGATGTCATAGCCTAGTTAGATTCTAAACACAGCTTGAATTTAAATGCATCATACAATTTACAAAAAAGACTGACTGCTGTAGTGTTTTATAGGCGGTAATAATAGCCTCATAATGTTGGCTAGTTCTTACTGTTCTGCTTGTTTTTTCGGACTCCATCGGGCATCCAGAGAGTAACACATAGCTACAAAAGTTTGAAAGTCCAAATAAAAGTAGGCTATTTATTCGAAAGAAACAATTATTATCAATTCCAAAATTCATAGTCGATTTTTACCCAACGGAAAAATGTATAGGCCTAATGATCACTTTTACTGAAAAATACAAAGCATTGGAAAAGTTATAGCCAGTCAAAAAGCACACGAGGGAGCCGCAAGCTCTCTTGAAGGGACCGTAGAACACACCTCTATCGCAGGGCAAAACTAGGCTACTGCAGGATTAGTTTTGATGATCATGTAACCTACACAAAAGATATAAGCAGCGGCTTTTATGCATATTTACTTCATTCAGGTGGATCGCTGTTAGATATTGACCTGTCAGATGCAGATGTCAACCCAGGACACATCGCTCAGCCCCCACCGTCAGACTCTCCTTCACTCACTGCGCTGAGCAAGTGTAATGCCTGTAGTGGGAAAGGCGTTGCCAATAGCAACATAGAATGTTTATCTAAACGTGCGTCATGAACAGCGCTAACATGACTGTATTCTCTATAGGAGTAAATTTTACCCGCTTTCAGACATTTTGTAACTATAGGGGGTGCTACATAACACACTTTTAAGAAAAGTCAGAGACTGGGGGACTTGAATATTATATTGAAAAA